GAAGCCTCTCACCACCCCTGAGTCTCTGGCCTGTACCCCAGTTCTGTATGCACAAATAAATGGATAAATCTTTAAAAAAAAAAAAGTTGATAAAATAATGACAATGGAGCACCATGAGAGAAGCAAGGATGGGTCACTCAACATAGGTTTTATTGCACTTTGCCTCAAAAGTGGCTGTGAGAGTAAGGTTATAATCCATATAAATCTATATAAAGTATTAGTAACTTTCACCATTAATATTCTCATTTTATAAGAGGAGAAGGAAGCTCAGATAGATCGAGCCTTGTACTCAGCCCAGGAAATCCCAGAGGAGAGTGCCAGAATGGCAGGATTGTCAGGGGGGAAAACAGATACCCCCGGTTAGTCTATCCTGTCCCTCTCTGAGGGGTTGGTTCCATAATAGACAGCCCCATGAGTAAGCTGGCATGGACTATCAGTCCTCAATCACGGACATGAAGAAATACTTTCTCTTTTGGTTCCAATTCTGGAGCCAAAGATCACACTTAAGGGTTGGAGAATTGAACTCTGTCACTTGGTGCCTCCTGCAGGTAGAACTGGAAAAAGCAGGTACTATCCCCTTTGTCCAGGGGCTCTACATTTTAGAGTGCTTGCTTCTGTTCCCTCCTCTACGACCAGAAAGTCCCTGGTACAATCTGAGCAACAGCAGTCCAAATTAAGTTACAGGTGGATCCAGCAATTCCACTGCTCTGGATTCAGGCCACTTGCAAAAGTTGGACAAGCTTTGTGTGCATAGCTGATCATCATTTGGGAGGGTTTCTCTCAATCACAGAACACGTAGACTTTGAGGAAGATCAGGAGGAGGTGTCTTTTAAAGAGCTTCAAGACATTTGGTTAAACGACGAGTTGAGTGCAGAAATAAAGAGTATCACACTGATATATAGATGTTGGCATACACACACTTTGGTGCTGAAAATAATCAAAATGCAATTTTGTCCCTGCATGGTTGCAGGCTGGCGGCCTGAGGAGAGCTGCCTCCACTGAGGGATGTCAGTGCAGAGAAGTCCCGGCATGGTACAGGTCATGGGCAGGCAGGAAGCTGCTGCCCTGCAGAGGAAGAGAGTACGTGGAAAGAAGTCCCAGGTTGGTACAGGTCACTGGTGGGCAGAGGACTGCTGCCCTGAGCCAGTGCAGAGACTGCCCTGATATAGTTCTTTTCTCTTGGGGAGATACAGGAGTCTCTATGAATGGATTAATGGTCATGTTAGTTACTTCTGCCCCCATGTCCTTGCATGAGTCAGGTTTTAACCTTGTATTAATCTCCAGGTATTCTATTCTTTTCCTCCATCTCTGTTCATCAAATGATACAATTAACACTGGTACCTTGGTGCCCTAACTGGTGGCGCAGCGGGTTAAATAAAGCACAGCACTAAGAAGCCACAGCCACTTCAGCATGAGTTCCATACCCACCTGCCCCGAGGTGAACCCACATCTGACCTCTCCTGACCCACCTGCTGCTCCCCTCAGCAGTGTACTTCATCAATCTGCCTGTTCTGCTCCCCGTTCTGTCTCTGGTGAATCCTCTCACCATCTGGGCGCCTCTGGCCTGCCTCTGGCCTGCCTCTGGCCTGCCTCTGGCCTGTACCCCAGTTCTGTACACATAAATAAATCTTAAAAAAAAAAATTAGTGCCTTTTGATGTTGAAAAACTGTATCTCAATAAAATATATTTCAATATACTTAAATTATTAATATAGAATTAATATTTTAATTCTAGTAGCACTGATATATTTCATATTGTAGTATCGTTTACAAAAAACCTGAACATCTAATAAATACTGATTATGTTTATAAACTAAGTTGTTGTCCACTGAATGCTCAAAATACGGCAATAAAAGAGGACACTCAAATTCACTCAAAACATTCAACAACACACAAATTTCTCACACACAGTTCACCAGCTTTGGTGGCAAACGGGTTGAGAAACCCGGAACAGGCTGTCAAACCGGAAATGTGGCAGGAGACAGGCCTAACGGAAGGGAACGGACCAGCCACCCGGAAGTGTGGCAGGCTCTCGCTATCAAGGGCGCACGCGCATCTCCCAGCTCAGCCAATCAAGACGAAGTGAGGCGGGCCTTTGGGAGGACATCGCTACTCAAACAGGAAGTGTGTCAGTTCGCCTAGAACCGTCCACAGGCACTATGGCAGCTTACGAACAGGTCCAAAAAGGGCCTCTGAAGTTGAAAGGAGTCGCAGACCTCGGCGTGACCAAGAGGTGAGTGCTGACAACGTGAAGAACCTTCTCATCTGTCCAGTTAGGTCCCGTACTCTTCTTGCCCACTTATCTGCTATCGCCTTCTCTCTTCCCTTCTCATCTCGCCTTCCAGGAAAAAGAAAAAGAAGGATAAAGACAAGGCGAAGATCCTGGAAGCAATGGGAACGAGCAAAAAGAACGAAGAGGAGAAGCGGCGCGGTCTGGACAAACGAACCCCGGCCCAGGCAGCCTTTGAGAAAATGCAGGAGAAACGGGTGAGACAGTCGGGAGCCCGTGTCTCCCGGGTGGGGGTGGGGGCGTTCCGGAGACTCGAAGCTGATCAGTCCGGGACTCACGGAGGGGGTGGGCTGGCGGTCCGAGGGAACCTTAATTTTGGGTTGAAGATGTTGCATGAGCGAGGAAGGAGTCTTCCATATCTGGGGATGCGCCTTCATCCAGTGGACTTGCCGAGGGGGAACCTAGAGCTCGTGTTGAAAGAAAACCAGAGCTGGATACTGGCCTGGGATACCAGCACTCTCTTTGTCTCATCTTCTGTAGGGGTCAGGATGGTGCACTCTCCTAAGAGTGGGGGACTTAGGATAAAGTAAAAACTTAGGTCCATCAAGAAGTGGATGCTCAGTTGAAGTTGGTTGTTGACATTAAATAGTTAGGCTTCTTGATGTAAATCACCACAAAGTCTGTTTCTGTAATGACTAGTAGATTGAAGTATGTTGTATTTTAAAACTTTAATATGTAATCGCCTGTAATATTAAGCACTTAGTTTGGGCAGTGTGAGGTGGAAGTTAGCATAGGATAAATAAGGTTGGGGATGTAATCTAGGACAGTGATTCTCAACTGTTTATTCCCCATCTCCACCCATAAGAAGACATTTTGTCTATCATAGTTTGAGGTATCTAGTGGTTTGAGAACATCTTAAAATACTTCCCCTCCCCTCAAGCAAAGAGTAATCTGACCCTGAATGTCAATAGTGCCCACTGAGAAACCATTACCCTAATCTGGGTGATTTGCCCAGTGACATCAAGAAAAACAAACATTACTTCCAGGCTTAAGTCAGTTTAACCCAAAAAAATGGTGAGGCAAAAACAAACCTGGGTTCCACCCTGCTTCTGCCATTTGGTGATGGTATTCCCTGGGTGAGTTGGCTGGCCTCTCACACATCAGTTTCTTCATGTGCAAAGTGGGACTAGGCCCTGCCTTACAGGTTTTAACAGTGAATGCGCTTAAAGTCCCTTTTCTGAGGTTACAGAAGCCGAGTTAGTATTTTACTGCTGGAGTAAGGGTGAGTGGGAGAGAGACTAGTGGTGACTGGTAAAGTCAAATGTCACTGAATAAAACTTTGGTTAGCAAAGACCCACCTATACAACAGTAGAGTGTACTACATACCCTAGGTGTTATAGTAAGCTCCCAGCATGTTCAGCCATGCTCACTTGGTACTGGTTTGTTTCTTGCCACTGGAACCAAGACTGATTGGGCATCCCTATTAGACCAGCCCACGTGGAGCTGAGGGAAAGACAAGGTACACATCTTAAGTGTGAGAGCTAGGCTAGCCAGGGCCCCCATTTTTAATCTTACGCTGGCTGCACAAGCATATGGACTAACCTTTCATTCCTTTTCAGCAAATGGAAAGGATCCTGAAGAAAGCATCCAAAACCCACAAGCAGAGAGTGGAGGTAAGCCATGTGCCTTAAGGGACCCTGAACACCCCAGCAGGTCCTAAAGACATGGAGCCAGGCAGAGGAACTAGTGAGGGTGGTAGCAGGGAAGGCAGTAGCTACCTATGGAGGGGAAATCTCCTCTTCATTGTTGCAGAGATAACCCAGAGATTGGATATCTATAAACTTTGCAGGGTGGCTTTGAGGAGAGGTGGGATGTGGGGATGGCACTGTAGCAGGTTTTCAGTGCACTGCTTGGGTCTGTGCTGACAGGGTCTTTCTCCTCGCCTTTCCCAGGACTTCAACAGACACCTGGACACACTGACAGAGCACTATGACATTCCCAAAGTCAGCTGGACGAAGTAGCCTTCCAGCCCTGATTGTGGAACACCATTGAGCAGAAGGGGTTACGTTTGGTGCCTTTGATGTTTTCTAGGAATATCGTACACATACCCTTTCATCTTTTGCTGAGACAGTGCTTTTCAAAGCAGTGTGCCTGCATTCTAGAACTCAAATTAAAGTGAGATTGCCCTTTCACTCTATTTTGGTTTCTTAAAATAGCAAAGAGAAGATAAGCCTTTTTAGTTTGGACTGGAAATCCCTGAAAGCTTATCCGGAATCATTTCTGTGTAAATGCTATGGGAGGCTTTTTTAACCCCCAGTGTATCTAACTCTTTGTCAACAGCCAGCCAGCTATCTTTGTCTGGAGGAAACTGACTCTAAGGAGCTCAGTCCTCAAGGCTCAAAACGTGCAGACCTCTTGGAGTCTTGCAGGGCCTTCCGTATTCCTTCTACCGTAGGATAGATGCTGTTCTTCCAGGCCCTGAGAAATCCACTTGCAGCTTCATGTCATCCTCACTGAGACAACATAGCCTAGGAGACAGCTTTCTCTTCTCCATTACCCCCTTTCTGAGTATATGTGGTAGACATTGCTAGTTGTGCACAGCGTTGTGATGTAATCCAAAAGATGTATGCCCCACTACTGTGAACCCTGAACTCCAAGCAGGGACCTCAACCTGTAATTGCTCAGAATTGGCATAGAACATGGAGCCTGTTTGGTGTTTCTGGCCTGAGGACTCTGGGGACAGGGCCAGGTAAGAGCACAGACAGACATGGGTACAGGTAAAGTGTTGGTAAACCCAGGTTCTGGTGCTGGAGTGCCAGGACCTTTAAGGGTTTATGTATACCCAGTGAGGATGGAACTGCACACCCCTGTGGGAAAAACATGGAAAGAAAAAGTCTGATGAGAAAAGCCAAATGGTGGATTTGGTGCTGTCATGTGAACTGCAGAATAAAGCAAAAGCTAATTATTAAATATGTCTGAGTGTCTTGATTATCAGCTGTTTAGTTATCACTAGCAATATAAAACTTTTAGATTTATCACACATGAAAAGTCTGCATACTGCAAAGTGACACTTCACCCTTAATTTGGAAAGTATTAGATGTGTTTCCACCTGTGGTTTTCAACCACTTATGAAGGATAATATACTATGTCATTGTGGTGAGGCCACATTCTGGCCTTTCTAAGTAGCAACTGGGTCTGAGTGGGATGTGTTTCTGTAAAAAGCTAGCATTGGTGTGGTATAAGATAATCCCAGTTCTTCATGTGTAACGTGGTGCAAGAATTACTCCAGACCAGTATTAGTAGCCTTTAAATATTCCAGTTTTGTCTGGATTTTTATACTTGTACCCTCAAAAGAGCTTAGAGGGCTTTTCCTGGTGGTGCAGCAGGTTAAGCTCTCTGAAGCCACTGCAGCATGAGTTTGATCATGGCGTTGCAGACCTCCTCTGTCTCACCCGCTGCTCCCCTCAGCAGTGTACTTCATCAAGCTGCCTGTTCTGCTCCCCACTCTCTCTGGGGAGTCCTCTCACCCACCACACCCTTGGCCTATACCCCAGTTCTATAAGCATAAATAAATAAATCTTTAAAAAAAAAAAAGCATATAAAGTTGAAAAAAAACTTGTTCAAAAAACCACGTGATGGTAGAGAAGGAAAGATGAAAGGAAGGCTGCCTGGGTAAATGGTCCTGGCAACACAAGGCTGGGATCCCCCAGGCACTGTGATGGTTCAGTGGCATTTCTGCACGGCCCAAATGTATAAACACATGGGAGATAGAACTGAACTGACAAGCCAAGGATCACAATTTGTATTACCCAGGCAATAAGCAGGCAGATTTGTTCACTAACAATGACACTTGACAGGTAGACAGGTAAAACACTGCTAAGACTTTGCTGCCATTCAAATCTTTACGGGCAGCCACTACATCATCCTCCCACAGTTTATCACAGTTGGTGATAGCCTATTTGTTTCCTAGGCTTCCCACCAGAATGAGCTTCTGGGCCCCAGATGTGCCCCACAACCGAGAGCTCGCAAATAAATCGGCCCACAGGAGGGGGTGTCCAGATGCCCTGACTTGGTCGCCCCGCAGTGTTAGCTAGAAAAGGCACCGCTTCAGCCCGCCAGGCTTCTCTGAGCTTTACTTCCGGGTTGCTGGAGGCGGGAAGTGGGAGGGAAACAAGCTCGCATTGGACGAATTGCGTCCGAGCGCACTCCATCGTGCGCCTGCGCGCTCTTGGCAGCTCCTCCCCGGCCGGACATAACGGTCCGCGGGAAGCACCCGACCGGAAGTGTCGCGGGGAGCGCTGGGCTTTGCTCAACGATCGGCAGACCTGGTTGTCGCCGCCGCCCTCGGCTACCGCCGAGGCCTGCTGCAACCGCCATGTCAGCCAGTGCCGTCTATGTGCTGGACCTGAAGGGCAAGGTAAGGAGATCGTCACACCCTCCCCGTTGCCAAGCAACCGACGGGGGCCTAGCCCGACGGAGACCCACCCTGTTGCTAGGTAGTCAGCCAATAACACCCGGGCTGGTGTTAGGCCCCAAGACTGGTCGGCCTTACCTGAGGGCTCTACCCGGTTGCTGGATAACCAGTCGGGATCTCGGGTACGAGTCGCGCCCTATTGCTAGGTAGCCAATCAGGGGCTTGGGTTCTCCAGCCTCGCCCTGTTGCTAAGTACCCCGTGGGTCGCTGCCGTTGCCAGGTAACTGGCCGCATGTCCACCTTGCCCTGGTGGGCTGGGGGCTCAGGCCTGGGTGGGTCACCCGGAAAGCCGTGTCGGTAGAGAGAACGGGCCGTTGCCGGCTTGGAAACCCGGCGGGACACCCCGAAGGATTTGGCGACCCTTGGCTAAAGGTGGCTAGGCGTATCAGGTGTTGGGGGACAGTGTGTCCTCGGGCTGGTTCCACCCTCTCAGTTTTATCAGGCGAGTTCTTTGTGCCAGTCCCCATAGGTATTTCCTAACGTTCATGGTGACATTGAGTTACAAGGGTTAGGTGGTCAAGGTGTGAGATCAGGGTAGCGCCATCTTACACAAGAAGAAACTGAGGTAAGAAGAGGTGATGCCACCTCCTGAATGTCACACACTGTCAGAGGAATGGCAGGTCTAGTTTAACCCAGAATCATTTGTTCATCCAATTTGTATTTAAGGGTACCCACCAATGCCAGGCAGGGTGCTAAACCTTGGGACCCCTTAAATGAGTAGAGTTCAAGTCAGTGTCTCTCCTCTGGAATTAGCAATCTGGTGGGGGCCAGGGACACTGATCTCAACAATACAAAAATTGCAATGGCAGAGCAGTGAGGATATAATGGGGAGAACCAGTCCCATCTTGAGGGTTCCGGAAGGGCTTCCTGGATGGGTGTGACAAATCAGGCTAAGACGTGAAGAAGGAGTTAGACCTAAGGAGGAGCCAGGTGTTTCTCCCAGGGGTATCTAAGAAAACTTCTTAAAGGAAAAATCTCAGAGTCCTTCAACCTGAGTCCATCCCACCATGATTTCTGGCCTCTTGCAGCTGAGAACAGCAAGAATGGGACAAACAGTATTAAGTCCAGCATGAGAGAAATGTGGCAGGCAGGCGTTAGCTAGAAGCAGTGGGGAGTTAAGAGGTGAGGTGGCTGCCCACTGTCCACCCCCTACTCTCTCCTAGAGTTCTTGAGTGGGTTGCTTGCCTTGGATGCCTTCCAAAGTCAATAGGTAGTTACGTCCAGGGCTGGACTTCCTTCCCCAGCCTTCTTAGAGGCAAGGAAGGACAGAAGGTACGCCAGGCGCTGGGTGGGCAGTGCTTCCTGAGTTCTCGTGTGTTCTTGTTTCTGCCCTGGCCACTGTATCCCAGAAATCCCAGCAGTCTGCCGGTATCAGATCATTTGTTCCTTTGCAAACATTCCATGCGCACCAAGCATACCCCAAGCCCAGCGCTAACCATCTCACCATGAGTGTGAGGCTGAGCCCCAGAGTCATCTTTGCTGTGTGACCTTGAACATGCTTTCTCTGAGCCTTTCCTCTCTAGTGCAAGGAGACTTTGAGGGCATCAGTGTGTGAATTTAGATGAGCCGAAATATGGGGTGGCTCAGCACCAGCCATGGCTCACCCACAGTCCATGCTAGCCCCCATGCACCTCAGGGTCTACAGGGCGAGGCTTTGAAACTGATCCAGATGGCCGGTGCTAGCTAGCCACCAGGGCCTGGACAACACCCCAGCTAATGCAATTGCCCAACCTGTTTGGGCTGGTAAAAGAAGAGGTGGTTGCGAAAGTATTCTTGGAAGAGAGAGATGTTAGAGCTGGGAAGGTGACCAGGTGGCACCAGATGGCAGGTAGACAAGGAGGTATTGCAATGGGCACAAGAGGTGTAGGGCCTCCTGCTAGGATTCGCAAGCAGGCAGAAAGTCCTGAAATTCTGGAGGATGGCACCCGGAGGGTTGGAGGTGTTGAGGGTGTCCAGACAAGAGCGGGGACATCAGGGGTCACTTTAATTCCAGGAGGACCCACTGGAAGGAGACGGGCATGTGGGAGAAGCATGATCAAACCTGCCTTTCAGGAAGCTGCCTGCTGTCAGCAGCAGCCGTGGTGCCGTTGTTACTCCACTCCCACAGACTTCATGTTTGAAGAGTTTGCCTCTGGCAAAGTCTGCATTTAATCAAAAACAAGTAATGGCACATCAAGAAATTCATGACTATATGTCTGCCAACCAGCGCTGCGGGTCACCAAGAAAACCACTGTGGCCTCACTCAGCTATAGCAAGCCCGCTGTGCGTGCCTCTTCACCCTTGTCTTTCTAGCTTCTCCACAGCGTCAGATACCATTCTCACACTGCTCCCATCTGACCCCTCTGTTCTCTAGGTCATCAGTTTTGTGCCCATTTCGCTCACTGCCCACCCACTCCTGGCCTATTGGCACCTCAGGCGCAGGCTCAGGCCCACCTCCAGCACTGTCCCTCACCCAGGCAGGATATTTCCAAGTCCAGAGCCCTTCTCTGGACCTCCACTGACCTCCAGGATACCGTGGGGTTCCGCAGACACCACAGACTTACATTTTCCAGAAGGAGCTCCTTGCCACTCCAAATCTGCTCTTTCCATCTCAGTGACACTGCCATCTGTCCAGCCACCCAAATCAGTTACCTGGGCATGATCCTCCCTTTCTTTCCTCTCACCCCCATGCCCACTGCACACACACTTAACTAAACTGTATGAGCCGGGCTGTGTTAGGACACAGCCATGAATAATGCAGAATTGTTCACAACTCACAAGAGATGTTAGTTCCTATTAGAAGCCTCAAAAAATAAATGAGGATACAAATACATATTTCATGGATTGGTGATGTGGGTAATGAAAGTAAATAGGTTGGGAGTGGATGGGACATGATGTGATCTCTCAACCAGAGTGAGGAGAGAAGACCTCTTAGGGCAAGAATAGCTGTGCTATAAAAATAATAGATGTACCTTGTGGCCAGGGTTTATGAAGCAGTATATATTCCTGTGAGGAGCTCAGAGGGAACACAGGAATCCCCCAAGCCGGGCAGGCCAGGACCCGTGAGCACACCTGTCGAGTCCTGGGTGCCAAAGAGCCTCAGCAGGACAAGGGCACAGGGCCCTTCCACAGAGAATTAGGAAAGGGAGGTTCTCTCTTTCTCTCTCCTGATATGAAACAAGAGAGACACCGTCTTTCATGAAGCTACAGGTTCTGAGCAGGAGATTCCCAGGTTGGTCATGTCAGTGACTAAGTCCTCCTGCTTGCTATCCTCATGGGTCCCCAAGAGCTGCAGCAGCTTCAAACAGAACCTTACCCAGGCTGGCAAAGCTCAGCACCCCTCCCGCCTTTTTTTTTTTTTCTTTTTGTTGTTATTTTATATTTTTTTACATCATTTTTCATTTTTTACAATGTATACATTATCATCTCAGGTGTAGTCCCGTGAAATTCCCAGCACCAATTCACCCTTGCACCATCACCATAGTCCCGTGTGCTCTTCCCTCCCCTGTTTTGATCCAGCTCCCTCCTCCCCCCTGAAGAATGTCTCTGGTTTACATTTGCCCTTTGATTTTTACTTTATTGTTATTACTTATTTTTTCCTGATCCTTTATTTGGATCCCCTACTTTCCTCCTATATGTATTTTTCTTTTTCTTTCTGGCTTATTTCACTGAGCATGATCTTTCCCATCTCCATTCATGTTGCTGCAAATGGCATGAGTTTATCTATTTGATTGCTGAGTAATATACATACAACATATTCTTGATCCTGTCATCTATTTTGGGGCATTTGAATTGTTTCCATAGCTTACCTATTATAAATAATGCTGCATAAACATAGGGGTGCAGGTGTTCTTTGCACTGAATATTTTTGTGTCCTTAGGTAGATATGTAGGGGTGGAGCTGCTGGATCACATGGGAGGGCAGTTATTTTGTTGTTGTTGTTTTTTTTTTTGTTATGTTTTTTTTTATTATTTTACAAAAGTTTATTTTTACATCATTTTGTACATTTTTCCCATCTCAATTGTAATCCCCATGGGTTTTCCATCACCAAGTCACCCGTGTGCCATCACCATAATCCCATGCATTTCCTTCCCCCCCCCCCCCCCCTCTCCACCCCTGCAAAATATCTCTAGTATATGGTTGTTCATTATTTTTGTTATTTTCTTGCCTGGTCCATTAAACTCCTGCTATGAGTGAAACCATCCGGTATTTTTCTTTCTCTTTCTGGCTTATCTCACTAAGCGTGATCTTTTCCAGTTCCATCCAAGTTGCTGCAAAAGACATGTGTTTCTCTTTTTGGTTGCTGAGTAATATTCCATTGTATATATGTAGCACATCTACTTAATCCAGTCATCTACTTTTGGGCATTTGGGCTGCTTCCATGTTTTTCCAATTGTAAATAAAGCAGCAATAAACATGGGGGTACAGGTATCTTTTTTCAATCAGTGTTTTTGTGTCTTTTGGGTAGATACCCAGGAGTAGGATTGCTGGATCGTAGGGAAGCTCCATGTTTAGCAGTTTGAGGAACCTCCAAACAGTTTTCCATAGTGGTTGTACTAGTTTGCATTCCCACCAGCAGTGCAGTGGGAGGGCAGTTTTAGCAGCTTTCGACACCCCTTTATTCCTGAATTGAAAGCGCTATATGAACAAGTAATAAAACCACTGATTTGACGGGCAGTATGATGAGTTCAGCTGTTGGGTCTATCAGAGAAGCCAGCACACACATTCTCTCACACCTTCCTTGCAACCTGTGTCTAGCCCATCTCCAAGCAGCCATTTGTGCATTTTCTGTCACCATCGCCTAAGATTTGAGGATTTTGTGTAAGTGGAATCTTGCAGGACATGCTCCCCTGTCTGGTTCTTTCTCTTGGCCCAGTGGTCCTGAGCTCCTCCCATGCTGCTGCCTGGTCCAGTCCTGGCTCCTTGTCACTGCTGAGGAGTGCTCTCTGGTGTGAGCAGCCACAGTACATGTCTCCTTCATCTGTCGAAATACATTGGGGTTTCCTCCCATTGGGTCTGATGAAAATAAAGCTGCTGCGAACCTCCATGTATAACTCTTCTTGTGGACATGTGGTTTCTGTGCAAATACCCTATTGAGGAATGGCCAGTTGTAAGCTAGGTCTCACTTTCTGAGAACCTACCAAACCATTGCACAGTAGTCCCATTTTATGTCCCCACCAGCAGTAGACAGGTGTTCCAGAAGCTGCACATCCAGCCCTCAGGCTATGAGAGAGGCCAGGAAGGGCTTCTCAGGCCGTGGAGCTCTGGTAGATATGGACACTCACATTCAGACATTTGGAAGGACACCTGATGCAGGCAGCAGGGAAGAGCCGAGCAGGAAAATCCGAGATCTACAGAGCCTTCGATGCTGTTTGAACCTGATGTGTTTAAATTAAGCCATCTTGATCCCTGGCCAGGGAGCCGCCCACCTCAAGCAATACCCTGGGGATGGAGATCGGAACAGCTTTGAATATGGCCTTTGCTGGACAGGGTTCTGAGCATTGCCAGGAGAGAGGCAAGTCTTCTCCGCACCTCTAGGCACAGGTCTGGAAGCCTCAGAATAAGCTACAATGTTCTCTCCCCCCCTCCCCCCCCCACCAGGTGCTTATCTGTCGGAACTACCGTGGCGATGTGGACATGTCGGAGGTAGAACACTTTATGCCCATCCTGATGGAAAAGGAGGAGGAAGGGATGCTGTCACCCATCTTGGCGCATGGGGGCGTCCGCTTCATGTGGATCAAGCACAACAACCTGTATTGTATCCCTCTGCCAGGGGCTTGGGGGCCGGGGGTTCCATGTCGGCATTTCCATGCACCCATATGCGTCAAGACCTGCCGGCACCTGATCCATTCATTGCGGGTCGACTCAGATACAGTGGGGCCTTCAGGCAGTTCCCTGTCATCCCCGACTTCCCTGCTTCCAGGAGACAGGTCAAGAGGACACTGTGATGGAGTGTGACAAGGATTTTGTCTGGCTCGGGGGTCTGGAAAACACCCTCTGCAGAGATGGATGTCTGAAGGGACCAGCATCTCCAGCCAGAGGAGTGGGCACAGGGGCTCTGGACAAGCTCCTGTAGCTTCGGTGAGAGGGCTGTGGAGCACTGAAGAGAGGGTGTGAGTGGGAAGGAGGCCCAACAGCAGGCAGCGTGTTAACTGGGGGTCTCATACCTTAAATATGTTATGAAGCCCTGTAGGATTTAGGCAGAGGCAACACAACCAGCTTTGCGTTTTCTGAAGGTCTTTGGTGGCTGAGTGGGGGCCACACTGCAAGGAATTGGAGTGGCTGAGAATGTTGGAAAGGAGTGGGAGGGGGACATAGAAGGGGAGACAGCTGCCTACAGCTCTAAGCCCCCTGCCTTCTGCCCAGGTGGACACCTGACTAAGCCACTTTCCACCCATGAGATTTCATGGTGTGATTCCATGGTTTTCATTATCCCTGCAGACGCATTTGGCCCCAGGCCACTTGCAAGCGGGGCCTGGCCTTACAGCGGGCAACCCCATTTGCAGTCTTCTGCAGTAATTGGGTAGCCAAGTCTGCATTGTCCCATTGACTCTCAGGAGCAAAGGCCCCTTCCTGCAGGACGTTAGGGTCAGTTGAGCTGATGTGTGAGCATTGCTCCAAGCAGACATGAGTTCTAGCCCTTTCCCATGTTCTCAGAAAAATGTAGTTCTGACTGTGTTATGGGGAGAAGGGGAATGGAAGTGGGCAGCCTTTGGGTGAAAGCATCTCCAGGGAATCTTTTACAAATGCAGAATCCCATGCTCTGATTTCCGGGCAGCTCAGAAGTTGCAGTTGCCAAACTAACCCATCCCTACCAACTTGTATGCAGTGCATCATGGGAAGGTGCTAGCCAGGACCCTTGTCTACTCCCTGGCTATGCCTGAGCTGCTCTGCAGAGCCCTGCTGGCACCTAGAACTAGGACACTGGCGGTCTGTGACTCCACTACGGGTCTGGGCCTTGGCTGTCCAGTATAAGGAGGAGTGGCTGGGTGAGCCCCGCTCTATGGGACCAGTTTCCAGGGCTCCATGTCTCAGGTGAGCCAGGGAGGAGACAGCGAAGGCTCCTCCCTAAGTGAATGCCCTCTCACTCTGTCCTCATTCCCAGTTCTGTGATTGGTGAGGGTTTTCCACCAAGGTCTGGCCTGGAGGGCCACAGGTGCCCTCCATAAAAAGTTTATGGGCATGAGAAGGCCAGTGCCCCTTTGGGCCCCTGTGCTGTGTCAAAAGGTGAAGTGGGAAGCCAGGTGGACATAGTCCAGACCTTGCTATCTCCTTCCTGGAGCTCAGAGGTCTGCTCTGGAGCTGGGTGGCATGGGTGTGTCATGAATGGAAAGGGCAGGGTGCAAGGGCCTGCAGTGAAGAAGGTGGCTTTCTTGGGACTTGAGCCCTGCCTCCCCTCCAGCCACAAGGGAGAGAGGAACCAGAAGTGCCCGGTACACGCTGACCCCTTGGAGTCAAATCCATTCCCACACCAGGAGAGTGTTTCTGGTCACCCGGTGAATCCACTCATAGCCTCCTCCCCTCTCCCCCAGTAGGAGAAAGAAATGGGGCTTCCTTACAGAGGTTTGTTTCAGGCATCAAGGCTTACAAGCAGAGTCAAGGTCTGCATGGGCCCTGGCTCGCAGCCCCAGACCATCAGCTTTGTAGAAAGCCAATTGAGTCTGGGTTTTATACTGCCCAGTGACACACATCTCCCCAAGGGGATATGGTAAACCACCTGAAGTACCTTCCCCATCTCCATTCTGGCTTCAACTTAGTTCAGATATCACCTCCTCAGGCAGCCAGGTTGGGGGCTCCGTGCCTCCCGTTGCCCCTCTGTGTGCTGATTGCACTGTGAGGGGGCCCAGGACCACGTCCACCTGATAACTGCTGTGTCTCTGGCCACGTCTGCCTGGTAACTGCCACGTCTCCTATGCCTGGCTTGGTTCAGTGGCTTTGGTGGGTGAGGCACTGAGCCCTGATGGGTGAGGACACCCTAGCTCTGGAAACTCCTTAACTGCTGCCATACAGTGGTTGCCACTTCTAAGAAGAATGCGTGCGTGTCCTTGGTGTTCTCCTTCCTCTACAAGGTGGTGCAGGTAAGCCCCACACAGGGCTCGGAGGGCACCGGGGCCCAGCACCCAGGGTCAGCTTTGTGCTCCCTAGACCGGCCACTGGAGGGCTGTAGGAAAGGAGGAGTGGAAAAGAGTAGGACTCTGAGGAAAGAGTAGGATTCTAAGGCATTAGTAGTTCTACTGGGTAAGGAGGAGAAAGTGAGCAGGAGCAGAAGCAGGTGGGACCACAGGCAGCTCTAGAAGCGTGGAGGGTGAGCAACTGAGTCAGGCCGGGGAGCGGGGTTACTAGGAAAAGCGTGGAGCCACGCTCTGCTCAGAGTCTTGGGGCTTTAAAGGCACAGAGGCCTGAGACCCGTATAGAGAGACATCTAGGAGAGGAAGGTGCTGGGGCCGCGTGTGACGCAGCGGTCAGGAACACCAGGGAGGCCAATGTGCCCAGGGCAGAGTGGGGCTGAAGTCAGCGGGGTAGGAGGGACTAGACATTGGGTGGTGTGGGAGGAACCCACCCGGCCTAGTGAGCAGTTTAGGTCTCGTTCAAAGTCTGACAACAGATCGTGGAGGACTTTAAGCAGGAGACTGACCAGGGCTGATTGGAGTTAAGACAGTCTCAGACTGCTCCCTAGAGGGAAAAGTGGAAAGCAGCAGGGAGTCCATGAGGAAGCTATTGCAGGCTTCTGGAAGAGAGAGTAGGCTGGCTGCAGCAGGACTGTGACTTGAAGACAGTGGGATGGGACCTAGAAAGCCAGGGTGGACCTAGGATAGCTTCCATCCCTTGGTGATCCCACAAGCAGCTGGCTCTGGAGCCACCTGTGCCAGTCTCGGTGGAGACAGGTTGATTGGGCATCGAGGATATTGGCAGGAGAGCAGTGCATCCCTCCGGGAGGCTCTGATGTGGCTAAGGAGTAACCCTCCACTCAAGTCCTGGCATTGCGGCCTGAGATTTCAGAGCAGGGGCGGGCAGCGGCCTGTAGTGCAGAGGAGAGCAGAGCAGAGAGGAAGGCTGTCCTCCCTGGGCGCTGAGCGTTTCCTTTCTGTTTTGGTGACCGTCCTTCAGTGTTTGTGCCGATGAAAGAGCACCTACCAGTGCTGCCTCTGGCACCTCCTGCAAATCTCCTTCATGTTCCTTCTTTGACCCTCCGATTTTCTGTTGAAATAGAAATATGTGGGGGCCCTCCCTGGTGGTGCAGCAGGTTAAAGCACAGCACTGCAAACTGGCCACAGTCACTTCAGTCCGAGTTCAATCCCCAGGCCCGGGAGGTGACCCACATGGCAGGGCAAACCTCTCCTGTCTCACTTGCTGCTCCCCTCAGCAGTGTACTTCATCAAAATGCCTGTTCTGCTCCCCACTCTGTCTCTGGTGAATCCTCTCACTGCCCCTGCACCTCTGGCCTGTATCCCAGCTCTGTATGCATAAATAATCTTTTTTCTTTTTAAAGATTTATTTGTGCATACAGAACTGGGGTACAGGCCAGAGACTCAGGAGTGGCAAAAGACCACCGGAGACAGAGTGGGGAGCAGAACGGGCAGATCGAGGAAGTACACTGCTGAGGGGAGCAGCAGGCGGGTCAGGAGAGGTCTGCCACGCCATGTGGTCACCTCCAGGGCAGGCGGGAATCGAACTCATGCAGAAGTGGCTTTAGCTTCTTAGTGCTGTGCTTTAACCCGCTCCGCCACCAGGAAGGGCCTAAATAAATAAATCTTTAAAAGAAAAAAAAGGAAATGGAAAGATGTATCCGCGAGCACAGCAGTACAGGCTGGCAGCTTAGAGGAACCAGAAGAGGACCCTTGTCTTGACCCTGTGGACTATTGCCCCTTTCCTCATCACCCCTAACTCACAGGCACAGGCTGACAATTACAGTCTGGTTTAAAGGGAAGCTTGGAGGTACCCCAGGCATGGGCATGTTCGGCAGGGAGCAGATGCAGGGCTTTTGACCTAAATCCAGAAGACGCTGCCATGCCCCCAGCCTGGTATCTACTCACAGGCGCCACATCCCCCATCCAGGGCCTTGCCCTCAGCCTATCACCCAGCCCAGGAATGGATAGAGGCAGTGTGAGGCCTTAGGGCATGAGGGCAAATAAGTTTATGCAGAACTCACCCCTCCACACCCCTTCCCTCTGTCTTCTGCTCTCCACCACCCCAGGTATTCTCTGAATACTTCAAGGAGCTGGAGGAAGAGAGTATCCGAGACAATTTTGTCATCATCTACGAGCTGCTGGATGAGCTCATGGACTTTGGCTACCCCCAGACCACTGACAGCAAAATCCTGCAGGAGTGAGTGTGGGTGGCATGGGGGCAGACCTGGCATGTCACAATACTGCTGTCATCAGCAATGGAAACAGAAGCAAACATTTATTTATGTGGTGGTCCCACCCATCTCCAGCTCATGTGGGTGTTTGCTGAGTGAATGTTCAATGAGTTGCGTGTTTAGGGTGCTTCTCCACGTGACATCCTTGCATATCTGAGCATCTCCGTGTGGCTGGGTCTTTAGCTTCCTTTCACACTGATGCACCCAATGCCTCCTTGTCAGGGAGTCACCTGCCTTTGTTTTTGCTGTCATAAATGAGGTGGTGAGAATAAATCTTCCTTCGCTGTAATCCCATTTTCAAATAACAGCGTATGTACTTTAGCACTTCCTTGGAATCTCAGGCTCGGGGGAGCAAGTTACATGCACTCAGTTCACTAGGAGACAGTAGGCAGGCCCCAACGGGACTGCTCTTCCTTTCTTATGAGGGCGCAAAGGGACACTCAGAAGCTACATAACTGGCTTATGTCTCCCCAAATGGGACCAGGGTCACTAGGTTACATCCCTGGGGTTCCCCTCTGCATGTCCCACAGAGGAGAAGCCTGTGCCCGCAATGCTTCTTGGCTGTTAAAATGGGTGCTTTGTGCTCATTGTCATTTGAATCTGTTGACTTTTTTTTTTTTTTTAATTATAAGCTATTCTTACATTAAATAACCTTGGAGGGAACTAAAGTCAGCGTTTTCTGGAGTGCTGCAGCGAGGGTCTGTTTTTAAGACTGCTAATGTTGGGTCCCTTAACTCTGAGTGTGGCTTCCCCAGGTACATCACTCAAGAAGGCCACAAGCTGGAAACTGGGGCTCCCCGGCCCCCAGCTACTGTCACCAACGCAGTGTCCTGGCGGTCCGAGGGCATCAAGTACCGGAAGAATGAGGTGTTCCTGGACGTCATTGAGTCCGTCAACCTCTTGGTAGGCTTCCTTTCCTTTCTGGGTTTGTCTTTTCATGATAGAAAGCATAGCGAGTAGGTTTTTAAAGCTACCAAAGTCCTGAAAAATATGTAGGTTTTAAATGATAGCAAATAACAGGATGCAGTTTGGACCACTCATTGAAACTTCATTTGTGTTTGTTCTTATTTAGAATCAATGCTTGTGTGTTGTAAAAAAGAGGAAGAAAACCAAAGCAATGTGTAAAGTTAGAAAGCTAAAGACATTGGCAAACTCTGGACATTTACATAGTGAATAATTGGATAAATAAAATATTTACAAAAACCAGTGGACAGTAGTAAACACTGCAAGGGACTGAGATTAAGAGGGAGAAAGAACAGGAAATATAAGAGGGATGCTGGTAAGGAAAAAGTACATAACTGAATAAATAATTTGGAGGGAGAGCAGCTTCTCTACAGTTCTAAACTTAGAAAGCTAAGGATTCTGTAATCAGAAAGATGGACTCAAGTTCCTTTAGGACATCATTCTGAAGATATAAAAATGTATGCTGATTTTCTATGAAAGCGAGCCTAAGATGTTCTCTTGCAGTTTGTTTTGGGTTTTTATTTTGGGGTTGTGGGAGAGTTCGTTGTTTCATGTTTTTTACTGTTTTATGTTTGGCTTTTGGTTGCTTTTTTATTAAAGTAAAATTGGTCTTTTTTTTTATGAGTTTCATTCCACTTCTGCACTCCATTATCATAACCAGGACACAGACAACTGCATTACCTTAAAGCCGCCCTTGCGCTGCCTCTTTGTCATTGCGTCCTTCTCCCTGTCCTGGCAACCACTGACTTAGTCTCCGCCACTACAGTTTGTCTTTTTGACACTGTTGAATGAATGGAATCATAGAGTTTGTAACATTTCAAGTCCAGTTTCTTTCACTCAGCATAATGCTTTGGACATTCATCCAACTTGTTATGTGTATCAAAAAGTTTCTTTCTGATATTTATTTATATGTATTTTATATTTTGAACCACTTTTTTCATTTACCCATTGAAGGACATTTGAGTTGTTTCCAGCGTTTGGCAATTATAAATAGAGTTGCTATAAACATTGCGTGTACAGGTTTATGTGTGGACAGAAGTTTTCATTTCTCTAGGGCAGATACCCAGGAGTGGGATTGCTGGGTCATGCGGTAAGTGTATGTTTATCTTTATAAGAAACTGCCAAACTGTCTTTCCAAAGTGGCTTCCCCATTTTTGCATTTTCACCAACAATGGATGAGAGCTGCAGTTGCTCCCCATCCTTGATCAGTATTTTTATTTTTGCCATCTTAATAGGTATGTAGTGGTGTCTACTCATGGCTTTAATTTGCATTTCCCTAGTGGCTTATGATGTTGAACATCTCTTCATGTGCTGCTTTGCCGTTCATATACCCTCTTTGGAGAAGTGTCTCTTTGTGTCTCTGAGCATTTTAAATTGGATTGTTTGTTTTCTGACTGTTGAGTTTTTAAAAATTCTATATATATTCTGAATATAAGTGTTTTGTCAGATGTGTGGTTCTGTCACCTACATAAATATTTTCTCATAATCTATCACTTGTCTTTATTAAAAGTATTATTTATAAAAATACAAAGGCTTTTCATTTTCATAAAGTCCAGTTATTTATTTAATTTATTATTATGCTTTTGATGCCATGTCTGAGAATTCATCAGCAAACCCTAAGTCCTATAAAGTATATAAGATTATATATGTTCATTTTTTTGCACATGCCATGATTTTTTTCTTTCTCCTTGATTTTTTTCTTTTATTAGCACAGATGTTTGTAGGTGTTCCAGCATTGTTTTTTAGAAGACTATACTTCTGAGTGTAGGCTTTCATAATCTATCTTTTTAATATCTTAAAAGTGAATACTTCTGTCCCCTTTCTCTTTCTCATTCTTGATATGATCATTGTGGTCATTTATGTTGTCTTTATTTTGTCAATAATGTGAAAGCTTCTTCTACTGATACTTATGAAGAAGCAGCTTTTGATTTCACTGGTTTTTCTGGTTTCAGATTTCTGCTCCTCTCTCTAGTATTTCCTTCTCTTTGACTTGGGTTTCTTAAGGGGGAATCTTAACTCCTTTTCTAATATAAACATTTTACTGCTATATAATTTCTCTCTAAACTGTGCTAGCTGCATCCCACACTGATATGCTGGATTTTTACTTTTATTCGAGGTACTTTTCGTTTTTCCCCTTGAGACTTCCTTTTTGACCCATGGGTTAATGTAATAAAAGTACACTGTTTAATTTCTAAATGTGTACAGATTGTTTCTGTTTGTTTTTTTTTTTGTTATTAATTTTTTATTACAAAGTTTATTTTTACATCTGTTATTAATTTTTTATTGAACTCCATTAAAATATGAGAGTACATTGGATAATGTCAGTTCTTTAAAGTTTGTTGAGGCTTATTTTAATGGCCCAGAATACTGACTGTCATAATAAATGGTCCATGTGCACTTGGAAAAACAATATGTATATTCTGCTGCATTGGGTGGATGTTCTGTAAATAGCAATTAAATTCAGTTAGTGGATGGTTTTGCTCAGATTTTCTAGCAATTTTTGCCAGGTTTTTTTTTGTTTGTTTTTTGTCTCTACTTGTATGTATTACTGACAGAGGAATGATAAAATCTCTAGTATCATTGTGAATTTGTCCATGTCTTTGTTTCACGTACTTAGAATCCTTGCTTTTTGGCACAAACACATTTTTATGCTTTCTGGGATGTATTAACCCTTTTATCATTATATAAGGTCCCTCTTTATCCCTGGTAATTATTTTCCTATGAAATCTATATTTCCATCAATACTGTCTTTCCAGAATTATTTTGATTAGTGTTTATATAGTTTGTCTATTTTATAAAAATACTTTTACTTTTAACCTACCTATGTCATATTTGGCATGAATTTCTTGCAGACAACAAAAAAATAGGGCAATTTTTTTAATCCATCCTGGTCATCGCTATCTTTTAATTGCTATTTAGGTTCCTTATATTTACTGTAACTATTATTTTGCTGGGATTAAGCTTTACTTTCATTGTTTTTTCCCCATCTGTTTTACATTTTTTTGTTTTCCTTTTCTGATTTTTCTGTGCGCTATTTAAACATTTCTAGTTTCCCATATAGTTTTTTTCATGGTGATTTGAGACTCTCTTTGCATAGTTTTTTAAATCCTTGTGATAAAATACACACTATCTTCATCATTTTACTACTTTAGAAACTATCATTCCTTTATCGTTGTCCTATATATTCATCTACTGTTATATACATTGAAAAACTCTAGCAGGCAGTATTAAATCTTTGCTTCCAAATTTTTATTGTTTTAACATGCTTTAAAGAACTCTGGAGGACAAAAATCTACTGTGTTTACCCAGGATACTTACCGTTTGTGTTGCTGGTCCTTTATTTCTGACTTCCCACGTTTCCCTTTGGTATCATTTCTCTTCCATCAGAAAAGCTTCTTTTCACAATTTTTCTAAAACACAGCTACCAGCTGCAAATTACTTTGATTTTTCTTCATTTAAGAATGTTTTTACTTCACTTTATTCCTGAAGGAAATAGTAAATTCTGGATTGACAATTTTCTTTTAACACCTTAAAGACATGTCATTTCCTTTGGGGATCTGTGGTTTCTGATGAGAAACACTTAAATTCTCATTCCTCTATGTTGTTTTTCTCTGTGCTTAGGACTTTGGCATTGTCTTTTGTTATTATGATTTATCTAGTTACGGGTATCTGTTTGGGATTTGTTAGGCTTCTTCAGTCTATAGGTTTATGTCCTCACCAAACTTGGGACATTTGCAGTCATTGTTTCTTCAACTATATTGTCATCTTTTCACTCGCTCTCTCTTCTCTTATGGTCTCCGGCAACATGAATTTTAGACCATTTGTTATTATGTATGGATCCCTGAGACTGTTCACTTTTCTTTCTTCCTCTCTCCTTAAATTTGGACTCAAATCCTGGGTTTTTCATTGCTTTGCTTTTAAGCTCACGAAACCTTTTTATGTTCTCTCCCCTCTGTTCTTGAGCCCAACTAGTAAGTTTTTAAGTTCTGTTACTATATTTTTCATTTCTAAAATTTGTTTTTGATTCTTTTTATCATTATCTGTTCTATTTTAACATTTGTTGCGAGAGTATTTGCAATATTTCTCACATCTATTTAATATCTTTGTCAGATAATCCCACCTCTGTGTCAGTATTGGCATCGACTGATTATATTTTCCTTTTGAGCTGAAATTTTCGTGGTTCTCTGAAGGCTGAGTAATTTTAGCTTGTGTCCTAGACCTTTTTGACATTACATTATAAGATTTTAGATCTTAACTCAAATTACATGGAAAACATTTGTGTTTTAGCTTACAGCGACCTGGTGAAAGTCAGACCACAAGTTCCAACCCCCAATCTGTGGGCCATGAATTCAGTTCAGTTTTCAGAGCTTTCGTGCCATTTGCTATTTGAGTCTGTCCTGAGTGGGCCCTGCCCTGTGGTTACCTGGGATGGGACAGTTTGGTTGTCAAAGCCTTTGGCATGATAATTAAGATCATACCCATGCATACCAAGTTCTAGAGCATTCTCAAGGCAGCAACAGTTTTAGAGGGTTACTTCCCTGAACTCTTCACTCACTGCTATCTTCCTGGCACTTTCTGGTTCCCTAGGGGCTTCCCTTATTGTTTCTATGACCCAAAGCTTGGGGCTCCAGATCCCCCTTCTGTCATAATTGTCTGTATTTGGACTCAAATCCTGGGTTTTCCCCATCCTCTCAGGACAGCAGTTACATTGCCTGTGGCCTAGTGAGAGAACAAAAAAAAAAGGAGGAAATGAGGGGCTTCCCATACTCCCTCTAAGTGCCTGGACTTCTGGCCCTAGAACTGGGGCAGCCTACTCTCTGCACCCAGTCCATATTTCCACTTCCAGTTTCTTCAGCACTTCCTTGTGGGGAGGGCATTGCTCAGCCCATTGGCCCTAGACCCACTGCCTATGCTTCCCAGTCTTCTGATATCTGCCCCATGAATCCTGCCCAGGTCCCTTGATTGTATTCAGTAGCAGAAAGGCCAGGTATAGGCTACTCCATCCTACCTACCTCCACAGCAGGGTTTGCCTCATTTCCTGATGTCTGGGACATTGGGCACTAAGTTGTGTCCATTTCACAGTTTATTCCTGCATGAATTTGGGCATCTCCTTTCCCTGGGCAGGATTTCTTAGACATGGTGCTTTTCCAAAAGGAGCTCTCACTGGACTCAGTGTTTTTTGCCTTACCGCTTTTAAGTCACCAGGTGAGCCAGTGGTCTTAGACTAGTTTCCCTTTATCTGAATTGTTTACTGAGCATCTGAATTGTTTACTGAGCCCAGAACATGGCTCTGGTATGTCATTGGGATAGCAAATCCAGGAGAATAACTTGTAAACAGCTTTGTGAGAAGCACTAAAAGTTCAGGGCATCCATGCGCACAGCTGTGCCCAAAGGCAAACTGGTCTCCCCTACCTGGGCTCACACAAGGCAGGCATGGACGTGCCAGGCATGTGAGAACAGCATGTCCCTTAGTCTGACTGCAGAGCTGGCACCAAAGTCCACATAAGCCTCCAGATTCTGGAGTCTGGAAGCAGTGGAGGACTTGAGCAGTTGATCATTTAGCAAACATCTCTTCTGTTCCCGCCCTGGGGAAGCACCGGCTCTGGGCCACTGGTCACTCTTTGACTGAAAACGCCAACTGCTCCTGCCTCTGCCTGCAGGGCCAAGATTAGCCTGTGGGCTGCAAACTCTTCGCTCTATGTCCTTAACTTTCCAGTGTTGGTGACCTTCCATGGTCAGTTACAGAAGGCCATGGAGTCTTGTCTCCCAAAAGGGTAGACAACCAACCCATCAGAAAAGGGGGTCTGAGGCAGTCACTGCTGGCAAGAGCATGGAGGGCCTGTGCATACAGGCAGTGGGAGTGCCAGCCAGTCAGACCATGCCTTGAGAGCCTCCATAGGAGGCACAGAGACACGGACTGACAAGGGGGAGAGGGGCAGGCAGCGGCTGTGCACTGTGGGACGGGGAGAACTAGAGTAGCCAGAGGGACAAGAGTGATGGAAGTGTCGGCAGAACCTGCAGGACCCTCCCTGCCCCTTTCTATGCCTATCTCTGGCGTCAGCCACTCACTGGAGCTTCAGTCCCCTCTTCCCTAATGTGTGTAGGCTTTCCTGTAACCAAATAGTGCTTTCTGGACACTCAAGTCAAAGATAAAACAGATTGTTCTGCTGCTTCACAGAAGCAAGAAACCCATGCCCTCCCCAACATTAGCATGAGCTTGGCCAGCACCTCTGTAGCACAGTCTTGGGGCTTGCCTGTCCCCTATGTGATTTATAATGACACTCTCAGATGCAGCCATCTTGCATGAGATACAGATCCCAAGGCAAGCCCTGCCATACACAGTTGCTGGAAGCAGCGACCGGCACAAGGTCAATGTCAACACCATGACGATGTGTTTAGATAAATGGGGATCAGTGGTTATCAGACTTCAGGGCAACCCTGGGGAGCAGAGAGGGGCAAAGGCCCAGAAAGTTCATCTTTAACAAACTTTAGGGAATGTGTGGCAGGTGCTTCTCAGGCCCCACTGGAGAAAGAGCTCTTGAGAGAAGCCGTTCTGGTCTGCTCCGAGAGGGCCCGACCTGGCAGATGAGCAGCCTCTGAAGCATTCGTCCCCACCGGGAGGCAGGCACACAACCTCAGGGACATGGAGGAGCCCCATAGTCTGGGGGCTCCTCAGAGAGAGTGGTATGTGAGGGACCCCACACAGGGCTTCCAGGCCCAGTGTAGGAGGGAGGAGCCCAGTGAAGCTGAGACCTGGGGGTGTGGCCCACAGTGTCTGCCTCACTGACCTTGGCATAAAGGCCAGCTGGGAGGGAGGTGAGGCGCCCCAGTCTCCGGGGAGGGTGAGATGGGCATCAGGAGACTAGGAGTGTCCAGGAGGGTCACAAGCACAGTAGGCTGGTCAAAGGGCCTCCCCTCATGCCTGCTCCACCACCCCCAGGTCAGTGCCAATGGCAATGTCCTGCGCAGCGAGATCGTGGGCTCCATCAAGATGCGGGTCTTCCTCTCAGGCATGCCCGAGCTGCGCCTGGGCCTCAACGACAAGGTCCTCTTCGACAACACAGGCCGTGAGTATCCAGGCAGCACCGTGCCTGTGGGCAGAGGGCCTCACCCCTCCGAAGAGCGCTTAGGGGTGTCCACCTACCTGGGCAAACATGGTCATAAGCAATTGGAGAAAGGTTTTCACGTTGCTTACACGACAACTATGAAAAATAACATCAGCAGAAACTGAAGACTGGGAGTAAAAGCCCAAAGTCAGAACCTGGGCAGTCAGAACCCAGGGTGGGCCTCAGCCATAGGGGCTGGGCCGTGTTCAGACTCTGACCAGCTGGCCTGGATGTGGCATTTCCTGTGGCACTTCTGTGGCAGTGCAGGGAGCAGAGAGGCGTGAGGGGCCCAGGACTGCTAGGACTCCACTTTTGCAAGCTGGGCCAGAGACGTCACACAGTTACACCCACCTGACAGTGAGGGCCTCTGGGACCCAGAAGGGCAGCCATTTCCCAACAGCCATTGATATGGATCGAGTCTGTGATTGAAAAGCATTCCCACAGCCAAGCAGGACCCCCAGGATGCCATATCCTGAGCAGCAGTGCTGGCTGGGCTTGTGCCAACCAGCTCGGCTCTCGGGCCACAGCAGTGGGACCCTGAGCACGTGCCCCGTGTGAGGATGTGACGGGGACCCCAAGGTGTCGGAGGAGTCGTTGTCTTGCAGCCCCGCTCCTGATGTTCTCACAGATTGGGATCTGCCCTTCCTACCCCTCCCCTTTAGGTGGCAAAAGCAAGTCGGTGGAGCTGGAGGATGTGAAGTTCCACCAGTGCGTGCGGCTCTCGCGCTTTGAGAACGACCGCACCATCTCCTTCATCCCGCCCGATGGCGAGTTTGAGCTCATGTCTTACCGCCTCAACACCCACGTGAGTGCCCCCTGAGCAGTTCCTCCTGGTAGGCGTCTGCCTCCTCCCTGTAGGTGAGCGCTGTCCTGGTTCAGGGTGAGTCTCTGACCTCCAGGTGAGGCCTAGGGCCACAACCGTCTCTCATCCTGCACCCCTCAAATGCCCTTGGCGCTTCCCTGCTGGTTTAGGCTTTGCGCTCTGCCGCATCCAGGCAGCAGTGCACAGGGCCTCACTTTCCCCTCTGTGATATAGGGCTTTGAGGAAAAAACGAGAGACCCCATCTTCGCTGTCCCCTACAGGTCAAGCCATTGATATGGATCGAGTCCGTGATTGAAAAGCATTCCCACAGCCGCATTGAGTACATGATCAAGGTGTGTGCAGCCTGCTGTCGTGTCCCCCGAGCTGCGTGGACGTAGCGGTGGGGGCGCACGCCAACACCTGCCTGGAGAGGACATTCTGGTGTCTCTGGCCTATCCAGGACTTTGGGAGGGGGG